GGCAAAATCTACAAAGTTCACATAGAGAGTTTGCTGCCACTTGGTACTCTGTTCAATAATATTTCTCAGCGTGAAAATATGATCGATACATCCCCTTCCTCTCCTGAAACCTGCCTGTTCCTCGCGGAGTTTAAGGTCCATAGCCAGTGACAGGCGCTTCATGATGACTTTCGCTAGGATCTTACTAGGAGTGGATAATAGCACAATGGCACGCCAGTTGCTGCATTCAGAGAGAGCTCCTTTCTTTGGTATCTTGATGATGATGCCCTCATTTCAGTCATCAGAGATTTTCCTTCTGTCCCATATGATGTTGAAAAGTGGCTGCAAGATGTTTGCGGTAGTCACGACAAGTGAACAAAATATGGAACAGTTTCCAGTTGTTACTGTTAGTAAAAGACTAAAACTAAAAAGTTGCAAAAGATGGTTAACCCTTTAAGTCCCGAGAGTAACCAACATCAATTCTCACCGTACAATATCAATACATAATCAAAAGAAAGGGTTATGAGAATAAATTAGATGATCACAAAGAGAAGTTCCTTAGTTCTCACGATACTAAACAAGAAAAGGTATGGAGACCAGTCAGGAGAATTTGTATGTGGATAATGGGGCTTAAACTATAAAGTTAACCAGGTGAGGCCCTATGTACCTCCTCTTCTCCAAAGTGTTTGAGCAGCGCTTCAATTTCAGTGTTGCTAAACTCTTCTGGATCCTTCTCAAAGTTGATAGTCTGCATTGCCATCGCAACAAAGAAGCTGTCCATGAGACTTTTCTTTGGAAATCTAAAAGGGAAAGTAGACAGATGATTAGACTTCTATTACAATGTTTCTTTAATTTTACTTTGTGTTTTGCATGCAATTAGAATATATCACAATCTAAGGAGTATTACCGTTTGTTTATTAACCGCGTGGCCATGGGCCGAGCGTGGTTCATGTTTTACCCGTGGTTTATTTTTATTTTTGTTTGTTGGTGACCAGACCCAAACTTCATCTTGGCAAAATTTTGAATCATGCAACCTGTGATGTTTATTTGCCAAAAGCTGTTGAAACAATACAAGGACAATGTTACAGATATTGTTTTCTTTATTTGTGTGTAAAATATATTTTCTTTTGGTTTTATTGAAGCGTTGGATTTGAAGGGAAATAATAAATACGCTTACAAAAGGTATTACATCAGCCATGGAATGTGTGACAAATGAGATCGTGTTTACTTTGCAAGTTTATTTTGCCAGAAGCGACGGTCATTGATTTATTTGCAATTTTTTGAGTATTTCTTGTGGTTTTAAGCAAATGAAGTAAATTCTTTGGCTGTTTAATCGCAGTGAGTTCATATATGGGAAGGAAAATTAAATATTT